AAATATAGAGAAAAAGGGCGAACAGAATTGTTCCACGGTCAATCAACTTTCTCCTATCCGACTTTGTACTTCCACAAAGTGTTCCATGGTAAAAAGGGAAAAATTTCTAATCTGCCACGCTGCGCCTCGATTTTCGATAGTGCAGCGTGAACCAATAAATGATGATTTCCGGTTGCGTGGTCCGACTTTGAAGAACAAAGATCAAAGAGAGCGATGTCGCGGCACAAAGAGCGCACAAATTACTGCGTTACAGTAAGAATTTCAATTATAGCCTAAACGCATCGCGCGACGAAATTGAATTCTGGCCGTGCGTTAGACATCAGCGTGAACAACACGCGCAACGACACCGCGAATTCTTTGAATTGCCCGGACGGCAAAACGCTTCCCGGTTTAACTGGAACAACGTTTAAGAAATATTTCGATCTCTTTTGATGAATTTTTCAATTTTCAGTCTCGAAATCGTGGCGAAATTTATTCGAAAGCGAGGATATTCATGCGTTGTTCGCAGCATTGTCGGACCCGAGCCATTTTGCATTCCCTTTCTGATGAGCACTTGTGTGTTATTCGTCTCGCGCCAATGTTTCATTGCCCCTTTTGGTACTTGTATCTTTTCTATTTTTTTTTTTTTTTTGAAATAGTACAACTGAAAGAATTCTCGTACGACGATTGTTTTTATATTTACGATTAAAAGAAGGATTGTGAGAGGGAAATGAAGTGGAAATATGGAAAGGAATTGAGTTTATAAAAGATTCGGGAAATAATAATACAAAGGATGAGTGAATCTTTCGAAACTTGGCCACGATGAAAGCGATTCTTTGCATGAAGGAATTCCATTAAAAGAAGAAAAATTCTGCAATATATATCTTCTTTTAAATATTTTTCTACACTTCGTCGATAAGTGGATTTACGTATTCCAAATCAATTCCAAATGAAACTACGGCAGAGCGCGTAGTTGGATCGATCGAGGATTAAAATTTCCAAGATTAAAAGTCCCGGAAACGTGACGTCGATGGATTCCCTGGGTTGGTTGCCGGCTCCTCGACTATTTATGAAAATCGTATCCGCCGTAAGTCCTTCGTTTACGTTGGAAACACGGCTCTTTCTTGACTCGAGAAAAGAAACAGGCTCGTGATAAAAAACGAGTAGCAGGAATCGAATAAGAGAGAAAGAAAGATAAAGAGAGAAGGAGAGAGAGAGAGTTTATTCGTAGCCGGTCCTCGGCCAGATTTTTTGCGTTTTTGGTCGGCGGCCTCGCAAGTTTACAAGAGGGAAGAGAGAAGTGGCTCTTCGTAGGATGTTGGCGGTGTTTTCAACCAAGGTGATTCCTTTGACCGTGTTTTCTCAGTCGATGCTTCCCCTCCCTCCCTCATTCCTTCCTTCCTTCCTTCCTTCCTTCCTTCCTTCCTTCCTGAAGCTTGCAACAGAAATATAAAATTCAACGGGGAGAAAGTAGCTCCCCGTGATTACGTGGAGGATGTTGTTGAGGCCCTCCCCAGAAACATCCCTCCATTTCGACCGTCGAAATGTTTTTCACTC